TCCCGCAGCCAATGGGAGCCGCGGGCAAGTGTGAAGGCATCAGCGCTCAGGCTCGCCCTCTCCATCCCCCCGCGCCGCAGCCGCAGCGCAGCGCCCCGCTCCCGCTCCCGCTCCCGCTCCCGCTCACCTCCGCCCAGCCCCGGCGCCGCCCCGGCCGCAGGAGGAGGGAGCAGAGAAGAGGAGGAGGCAGGGCGCCGGCTTAAATACCGCGGCCCCGCGGCTGCCCCCGCAGGTGCAGAGGACACGCGCGGAGAAGCGATGCCCGCCCTCGTGCTGCAGGAGAAGGTGAGCCCCGCCGGCTCGTCCCCCGGCGCTCGGCCCCGCGGGCTGCGGGGCTCGGTCCCCCACCCCGCCGCCGCTTCCCCCTTTTGTGTCGTGTGGGCGGTCCAGGCGGCCGCAGGCCGGAGCCCGGGCTCCGTGGCGCAGGCAGCCGCCCGTGCCGCCGGCCCCGTGGGAAGGCTGCGGCGCCCCAAGATGTCGGGGTGGACAAGGACCTTTTTCTTTGCGCCGCTCGGAGCGGATCCGCGCTGGAGCCCGCGCCGGCATCACAGCCCTGCGGGGAGGGGGGAAGGAGCCGTCCAAATGCTGCGGGCGGCTGGAAAGGAAATGGCCACTTTTTTAAAATGACTTCGCTTTTCTTCTAGCAGCTGCCCTAAGGGCATGTTCAGCCAACCGGTTCTCATGGCCCTGTCTAGCACCCCGATGAGACCTGGGCACCGTGGGTCCCCAGCCCAGCCCCCTCCCCCTGCTCGGGTCCCTCGCAGTCCCCTTTGTAGCCCTGTTAATGCCTGCGTAAGGCAAGAAAGGATTCTGCCCACTTCTCAAGGCTGGATGCTTCCCTCTGCTTACCTTTGTGGGGATGCGTTTTATGAACAGCTCTCCAACCTGCTTGCTTTCTGTTGCAACGCTGTGAATAACCCTGTGCTAGGTTGCAGCATGCAAAAATGTGGCATGAAGCTGAGATTGGGGCCTCACACTGCACCCAGGTAGTGCATCTCTCCAGGGCGGGTGTGTTCCAGTTAGCTGTATATGCTGGCCCTATTATGCCAGGCGAACCTATTGAGTGCTTAATGATATTGGGGCATAGGGGAGGGGCACATCTGAACTGCAGATGCCAGCTGTAGGCTATTCAGGAATGAAGGGCAGTGCATGTAAACAACTTGCAGCCCGTGACTTTGGGCTCCAAAGCAGCACTGCTCACCCCCACCCTCTTCACTGCGTAGTAGAGGCAGTGGGAGCCACAGCCCTAAGGGGATGAGTATTTTCTTCTTCCTCCCTGCTTCCTTTATCTCCTGCCAAATGAGCTTCCTTTGTCATGTTTCCTGGGCAGAGGTAACTTTGACTGCCTCTGGCCTCAGTAATTTAAGTGTTGTTTGTGTGGGGAAAATTCCCAGTATACTAGCATTGCTACGTGGGCTGTAGTCTGCAGTTCGTGGCCTTGGCCTGATTCTGGAATAAGAGTGTCTTTTTTTTTTCTTGCTTCTGCGTCTCATAAAGTGATAGAAGCTAATCGGCGGGGGAAAAAATCCATTGTTTTCACTGCCAGGCGAGTGTCCACACGAGGAGTTTTACTGGCTTAATTGTACCGATGTCACTATGTCAGCATTTCTTCCTGTGTAGGCAAGTCCCAGCTCTCCTTGGCCGATTATCACTTGGCAAGGGAGGGACCTATACCTTCCTGCTGAGATGTTGGATGGCTGTAACTGGCACTTAGTTTGGGCAGAGCTTTTAGCTGTTTAATCTCAGGATTTGAGAGCAGGCCACCTCCAGCATTTCTGGAAGTTCAGTGGTGCCATGAAACTGCCATTGGCTAGGTAAGGGAAGAAAGGATGGGGAAAGACAGAGCCCTGTGCCAGGACACAAAGAACTTGGCTGGCTCCCAGTCCTCACAGTTGTCTAGATCCACTTAAAGAGGCAGGATATTTGCTGGCATCTGCAGTACAGATGTGCTTCTCCCCTATGCCCCAATCCCATTAAGCACTCAATAGGTTCACCTGGCATGGGGCCAGCATATACAGCTAACTGGAACACACGCGCCCTAGAGAGATGCATAAACTGGGTGCAGCGTCCACTCTTTGTCCTAAATGAAGTGTCGCTGATTCCAAATGGCAGCGGGAAAACCTGGAGGGTTAATCTGAGTGGGATCCCTGAGTGTTTGCAATCCCTCTCTGTGGCAGGGTTACAGCTAAGTTGCTGGTTTCTGCCCTTGAGACAGGGAGGCCATGTAAGCAGAGTGGCCTGTAAGCAGAGTGGCCTGATTTCAGTGTCTCTCTCAAGGAACTGGGCCATGGTGAAATGGTGGCCCTGGAAGGAACTCTGCTGCTGGCAGGCATGTAAGTATAAATCAGCCTTAATGCCTTGTCACCAAGGATACAAATTAGCCTTCACCGAGCTCAGGGTCAGTCATGGTCTCTTGGCGTCTCCAAAGACACTGAGCCTAATTGTCAATTGGGTAGCATCCTCTTGCCCAGTTTGCACTGGTGGCAATATCTATCTAGGCTTCAGGACCATGGAGAATTGGGCCCCTGAGAGGCTATTGAGCACTATTGAGTCCCCTGGAGTTCAAAGGTTCAGCTCTGTTGAAAGTCAAGCCCATTGTGCCTAGGTTCAGACCTGAGAGAGGCCCCTAGTGGCAGTGAAAGCCACTGTGCGTGGCTTGGAGGAGAAGCAGCGGATCCAGGGTTTAACTAAAGGATCACAGCTTGTTTGGTAACTCTTTCCTGTGCCTTGTAATATGCGCATGTGATTTGGACACTTCTGCTAGTAGTGGGTGATAGAGCATCAGAAGAATGACTGTTCTCTCTTGGTTACCTCAGAACAAGTGGGAAGCAGGATTTGTCAGTTCTGGTTGTAGCTCTACCACTGATCACTCTGGGCCTTGTCAGACCTTATGTTGTAAGCGGAACAAATATTAATTGGCTTAGTGTTGTTCAACTTAGTGAAGTTGTACCTTAAGGCAAAAACCTGCTCTGATTTTTTCCCCACAGCTGTGACTTGCCACGGAGGCTTGGTGAGCAGAGGAAGGACTAGGAACTAGGGGGAGGACAGACTCACTGCTCCCACCAGACAGCAAGTACTGCAGCCCCAGAGTGCCTTACACCCTCAAGGTTTCCTGCTGCCACTTAGACCAACTCTACCCTCAGCTGGGAGCAGAGCCAGCTAGTCTGAGCAGGAGGCACCACCTCCCCACTGCTGCTCACAGCAGCTCAGCTGGGAGCAGAGCCAGTTGGTCCAGCAGAGCCAGTGTGAGCTGCAGTGGGGAGGCAGTGCTCCATCCCCCCACTCAGATGGGTTAGCTCTGCTTCCGCTGGGAGCGGAGTTGGTGTGAGCGGCGGTGAGGAAGTGGTGCCTCTCTGCTTGGACCACCTGACTCTGCTTCTGGCAGAGTCAATGTGAATGGTGGTGGGTGGTACTGCAGCCACCAGGTGCTCCAGGGTTGCAGTGTTTTCTCTGCTGGACATCCCTGGAGGGCAAGGCACTGTGTCTGGGCCTGCTGTGCCCCAGCGTTCCCACTTGCCCACTGCCTCTTGGGATGCTAGAGGACTTCAACAGAAAAGCTGTGAGGAGCGGCCATAAATTAGGAGCAAAATTAGGCAGATTAGGGATAATCCTGCCCTGGAGTGGCGTAACTTTAAGATGAATAATGAGCGCTTTAAGTCGCTTAAAAGGGGTTAATGTGCAGCCAGTCCAAGACTTAAGAGCTCCAGAAGCCGCTTTAAATTACCATGTAACAAGGCTGTCTGTGGCCTCAGGTAAATCACTTCTCTTTCCTGTGCCTTAATTGTCCCATCTACAAAAACTTACCAGCAGCCAGGCAGTCTGAACTTCAGTGACTAACTGGGAGCATCCAACATTCATCTTGTACTCAGTCATTCTCATCTACAGAACTCAACACACAGACCTAGGATAAATCCATATTATAGTACTATGCTCCAGGTAAGGAAACTGTAATACAGAAGTTTGGAAAGGAGGTTGTTAGGTTTTACCCAGTAAAGTTTGAACTGCCTGAGTCACTCCTTCAGGCAGGATGAGAGAGATCCAGGATTAATATTGGTGATCAAAAAGTGATCAAAACTGCACATCTTAATTTTCTTCCCTGCACTGCTAGGTTACAAGGTTACTTTTATTGCTGATTAGTTAAAAAATGAGCTCAGCTGATGGTTCCACAGATCTGTGTATGATCAACATAAAGCGTTCTGTTAGCAAAGCCAAATGGAAAGAAAACATTCCTGGTAGCCTGCAGAGAACTCTCCATCCCTTTGAACATGGATCAAGGAATCTGTGATTGGAGGGGAAAAGTCTTGCATTTCACCCTCTGGAAGACTCACCCTCTCTGCAAAGGGTCAGCCCCCTTGGCTGAAGCAGGACAAAATTGGTGAATTTGAGTGAAATCTGTCTCTTTTTAAGGGCTGATTTCCTCCTATGGGAATACATGCTGCATGTATGAGTTCTGCTGACCCAGTCTGTAGAGCCCCAGACAGAGTCCTGCAACCACATGTAGGAGACTTTCAAGACATTCTTTTCTCTCTGCACCACCTCCACCCCCCTTCCCCCAGGATATAATATGATGGTCTGTGATGGAAGGTTCCTGAGGAACTCCTATAGCTCTGGGTGGACTTCTAATGCCTTCTGACCTAGGAGATAGATGCAGATAATCCAGAGCCAGCTCCTCTTGATCCCTGTAGTAAAAACTAAACTACAATCGATACATGGTCTCTTTTTTTCTTTATACCAGCTCTCCAAGGATTTCCCTTCAGCCACCAGTACCATTACTGCAAGGGTGACAAGGAATGGGGAAGCAGTCATGGAGAAGAACTTGTCCAACCTTGAGGAAATGTCAGTTGCCCGCGGCATGATAGATGATATCTTTGATGAGAGCTACCGTGAAAAGGAGGGCCCCAAGCCTGCCAAAAGATATGTCTGGAGAAATATCATCCTCATGTCTATGCTGCATATAGGAGGTTTATATGGGATCTCCCTGATACCTTCAGCAAAACTGATGACTCTGGGATGGGGTAAGTGGAGGAACTCCCTTATTCTTCTTTGTGTATGTGAGCTTGACTGATCAGCGAGGTTATTCATTTGCCTGGGCCCTCATACAAAGGTGTAGGAGGAAACTGGGTTTGGATAGTGTTGAAATGATGCTCAGTTTAGTTCACAAGTGGTTTTGGAGGTTTAATATCTGTAATTCACTGGGAGATCCCTGGGAGGAAAGGAGATGGCAGAGAAGTGCGAGTCATTAATAGTTTAAAAAGTGAATTCTAATGCATAGGCAAAAATAAAGGTAGGATCATGGCTGGGTGGGAAAGAGATTTTCTGTATTGAAGAACACTTCTTGGTTCCAGATATATTTTTTCTTTTCCATTTGGCATTCTTTCCCATTTTTCACTCAACCTTCATAGCCCCCATCCAAGGTAGTCATATAGGGGCCTTCTCTGAACCTGCCCACTCCTGATGTTCCCTGTGACTTCACCCCCCCAGCCCATAGCTGATGATAATGAGCTGAAGAATCATGATACACCTGTGTTTTCTTCGTTTCTGATTTTGTACACTGGGTAGGAAGAGAAATGGGTAGGTATGGGGAGAGAATCCTAGCCATCTTGGGAGACCCTGAGATTTCCCACAGCAGTGCCCTCCCAGTGTGCACAGACTGGGTAGGAGGGGGCAGAGAGCAGTCCAAGTTGCTAAGAGGACACAGGTAGGATCTGTTCACACTCCCTTGGGGGGCACAGATGTTCCTCTCTACCCCTCAGAGGATCACATCAGGCCTTACATGATCAGGTAAGTAATCTGTTCTCTGGGGCTCCATTTTGTCTCTTGCTTTGGCCCTCCAACTCTCAACCCATCTGTCTCTTACAGGGGCCATTAATCCCTAAACAGTGCTGTATTCTCCCCTCTTTCTCTCACTCTGCAGCACAGATGTGGCTAATTTGTGCTCTCACTTTGCTGCCTATCTGGCCCCAGGGCTGGTGCCCTTGGCTGGCACCAGTGAAGTTCCCTGGGTTGTGCTGGGATGAATGATGCCTGCCATAGTGAAGACCAATAGATCTGGTCACATGGAAGCAGGAAACTCC